TGTTGGGGAAAGGAGCATTCAAGACTGTGTATGGCCCTTAGACCTATCTTCTTTTAGTTTTATCATAGTTAGATATTTAAGTTAAAAAAATTTTTGAATGAAGGAACTTTCTTAATTTAAATTACCTTTATTTATTGTTATTATAGATATAAGGCATTCGATGAAGTTGATGGGATAGAAGTTGCCTGGAACCAAGTGGATATTGAGGACGTTTTGCAGTCTCCACAACAATTGGAAAGGGTATATTCTGAGGTTCATCTCCTGAAGTCATTGAAACATGATAACATCATCAAGTTCTATAATTCCTGGGTGGATGATACGAACAAGACTATTAACATGATAACTGAGTTATTCATCTCTGGGAGTTTGAGACGGTAAGTTTATTGACCTTTTTTTTTTTTTTTGGTAATGTTTTCCCCCTGATGCGTTTGGCCTTAGCATTCATTGATTTTGCTCTTGCTTGTAATGGATCAGATATCGAAGAATGCATAAGAATGTTGAACTGAAGGCCATGAAGAACTGGGCAAGGCAAATTCTTCAAGGTCTATGCTATTTGCATAGCCACGATCCTCCTATCATCCATAGAGATTAAAATGTGATAATATCTTTTTAATGGTAATACTGGAGAAGTTAAGATTGGAGATCTTGGATTGGCAACTGTTCTACAGCAACCAACTGCACGGAGTGTCATTGGTAACATGCTTCAGTTTTTCCTGTTTTTCTAACTGGACTAACCATGTTTAGAGGAAGAATTTGGTCTTGATGCTTATTTTAAATTTCACTTTGCAGGAACGCCAGAATTCATGCCCCTGAGCTTTATGACGAAGAGTATAATGAACTTGTTGATATATATTCTTTTGGCATGTGCATGTTAGAAATGATTACCTGTGAGTACCCATATAGCGAATGCAAAAATCATGCACAGATATACAAGAAAGTTACCTCTGTAAGTCTACTGTTAATTCTGTTCTTTAAATCTTTTCTTAGTCTTGTTTTCTGTTACACTTATAAGTTTCTTACTTTCAGGGAATAAAGCCTGCTGCCCTCGGTAAAGTGAATGATCCAGAAGTGAAACAATTTATAGAGAAATGTTTAGTTCCAGCCTCTATGAGATTGCCTGCATCTGAGCTATTGAAGGATCCATTTCTTGCTACTGACAACACAAAGGTGGTCGACCATGCACTGCAGCTGCCCAATCACATGACAGAATTGGTGACAACACCACCAACTGAGCCACGTCCCATGGAGATAGACCAGACTGTCAAGGATGTTTTACCTGGCTCCTGTCTGAAAGTTACTGAAGAAACTCCTCAAATATTAACTCTAGATTTCCTTACGAAGAATAAGAGTAATGAATTCAGGTTACGAGGGCAGAAAAATGCTTCGGACAGAACAGTTTCACTTAGTCTGCGCATTGCTGAGGCAAATGGTGAGTGCTTATATATATATATATATATATATATATATATTTTACCTGCCACAACATCATGCTAAATGTTTATGTATTTGTTAGGTCGTGCGAGGAATATCCATTTTCCATTCTATCTTGATTCTGATACAGCAATTTCCATTGCGAGGAGATGGTAGAAAATCTGGATCTCACTGGTGGGGACGTGAGTGTTATTGCTGAACTAATACACACCATGACTGTTAGGCTTGTTCCTAACTGGAGAGTGTCTCGTCAACAATTATGTTCTGGAGCAGATTGTTTGGATGGCCATTCTCACCTAGTTTTAAAGAGGGGATCATCTTTAAGGTGCCATAGTTACGAGGATCATGTTAACTCACAGGTTCTTGATGAAGATCAAGAGAAACAGGAATCACTTATGTCAGGCATTTCAGCTGAGGATGAGATTCCAGTCGTCTCAGATGCTAAAAAACTTACAACCTAATTGTACTTTCTTTGATGGATTCTATGAGAGCTCCACTACCAAAAGGTCCAATTCAGATGTCAGGTTATGTGATCAAGATGAACGCAATAGGGGAGCTCATGGTGATGGATTTGTCAGCATCGGTGGGTCTGATGGGAACTCAGTTAACGTTTCAGAGAACTCAACTGTCTCATCTATCGATTCGTGTGGCGATGAACCCAAAAACTTCGACATGTCAAGCATCAATTCTCTTCTCTCGCAGACAAAGATCAGTGTGACGAGCTGCAACAGGAGCTTGATACAATAAATACACAGTACTGCCAATGCTTTCTTGAACTTGCGAAGACGAGGGAGGATGCAATAGAAAACGCAAAAAGGAGATGGATTACTAGGAAGAAAATACTTGTAATGTGATGGGCTAGGAAACAACCATTCTTTTTTTTCTTTCGAGTTGTTTTCCCCCATTATTCTACGTTAGTTGATTTTGGTTCGTTGGAACCAGGCTTTTGTTTTTTTTTTTTTCCATTTTGTCAATACCTGCTGATGTTTTTTTTTTTTTTAATTTTTTTTGGAGGATGTGGTTTTATGGTTGTTAATGGATTGGGAATTGTTGACAAGCATGGTGGAATGATATAAACATCTTCTCAACAATATGTATTTTCAACCTAAGTTTCGGGGAGGGAGGGGAAATATGATCTTGAAGGGACAGTGAATCTGATTTGTGCATTGTACTTTCAATAATTGGTTCAAAGAACAAAGATTCAATATGATCTTTATAATCTAAGTTTAAAAAAAAAAAAAGACGCGATGAATAATTTAAAAAATTTGAAAACTTATTGTTCTGTGAGGATATCAAGCGAAGAGATGCGCCTATTTGTCACGTGAGAGGTTGCCATCAACCTAGACCAAGAAATGTTTGACAATAATTTATTTCCAGGCCTTGAGTTAAGAATTAGATGAATGTCGAGAAACATGAGACTATAAAGCACAGTGAAGCCACGGATCGAGATAATAGTTGACTTGAGGATACATCAAAAACTAGAAAGAAAATCAAATCGTTAATTGGAATAAAGATCAGAAATGCATAATAGGCGGATGCAGTATGATGTTGAGAATATCAGACAAATTCAAGCTTATAGTTTCAACTTCCAAAACATTGTTACTTAGTGAAGCTGTGCTAGTTAAATAGCAAACAGAAAAATCCCAACTTTCACAAATATTTTGCAGAAGCCAAAAGGTAAATAACAATGGCAGCACCAGAAGAACATCCCCATTTCATACATTTGGCATGGTCTGTGTCTTTGATCATTTTGTACAAGACTACAAGAGAAAGCAAAAGAATGAACAAACCAAGAACAATAATTGAATCTAATCTTTAAAATTTCAAATTTTTGCACATTAACAGATCATGGAGACAGACACAGAACACCATTGGCATTGGCAACTAACTTATGACCAGTCTTCCCTGACTATTTTGGACTTCTCCAGAATGTACTTTCCTTCTTTATACTTTTGTGTTTCCTCATAGGCACGTTCATACTTCCAACCCAGCACCTCACGGCAGTCACAACAGTAGACATCAGCAACCGTGTGGAGGCCTGTCATAAGCTGCCGGTCTTCTTTAGGCCCCACCATAACATTCATTGCATGGGAGAACAAAAAAGCCCGTCCATTTCTTCCCTGAAAATGATAAGAAGCATCTTCAATCTTCAACCATCCTTATTTAGTACTACCTCTGGTCTTTAATATAAGACCTTGTTTGACTTTTATTTTAATCCTAAATATAAGACCCCAATTCACTTTGTCTCTCATATTTATACTTTTTTTTTCTTTCAAAGTAGTCCTTCTAATAATAACAGTTCTAGTCAATACACTCGATTAGCAAGAATATTTTAAGAAAGACAATACATATTTAGGACAAATAACTAACTCAACTTACTTCCTTAATCTCTCCAAATTAGTCAACTAGCTCTTATAATTAGGACAAGAAGTAGTAAAACATCTTTACGAAACCTATTGAAACCATTGATATTTCTTAAGAATTAACTGAGGCAGCCAGCATATGCTGACGGCAACTAATTTAATTAAACTCAGATTCTCACGTTCTGAACTTGCTGTATCATTATGGAAGGAAGAGCTATTGCCTACTGCTTATGTATAGATCAAATTGAAAACACGAGAAGAACGAAAGATTGATCTGCTCAAAACTTGAATTCACCTGAAAAGCTTTTGAAATAGCATCATCATGACGAGCAACATGGTTTCGACAATTACAGCAACTGTACAGTCTCGGTCCAATAAACTCCGCCATCCAATCCTTTACCAGCTTTCACCCCTATTCTTTTATCTTCAATCGATATCTTTGGTCTGTGGAAATATCAGTCAGTGCCAATACAAGCGATAAAAGAATGTTAGTTAAATTATTGCACCGAGAGGAAAAAAAAAAATTAACACATCCATCAACATACTATGCAACTTTCTGAATTTTGAGTCAAATAGACCAAGTATCTGTTCTGAGGTGAAAAGTAAAACTTGAAAGGATCATACTAATGGGCAAGATAAAGGTCACTAACGTAGATATAATAATGATTCAACAATAAGATATGGAAACAGATTGACAGAGGTAGGGTTGCAATCAAAACTCTAACCAACCAGAAACATGAATTTTTCAGATCATCCATGGATATATATCGCGGGAAACAAGGAAGTAATGTAATATCCAGAATGCGCGGATAATTATTATTAAAAAAATGCGCGAGTAATTAGCGAAATTCACAAAACCATGAAGGCATGAAGATTTTTGAATAGGGCTCAAATTAATCAGTTTCTCAGATCGATCACTGAATAAAAGTAATATCATTGAATTGCGATTTACAAAAAGCAAGCATTAGAAAGGCAATGGAAGACGCGAAGTACCTTTGGCGGGTGATGGTGGGGGCACAGCGAGTGAGAAAGTTCTAGGGTTCACCGCAGATTGAGTTGTCTACAGAACTGAAGAGATTAGAGTTCAACAGCTCCCTAGAGAAGACAACTTTCAACAGCTCTCTCATACTATTTTTGACAAAAAAAAAAAAAAAAACCGAAGGGGCAAAAACCAAAAAACAAAAGAAAAAGAAAAAGAAAACAAGAGTATATATATATATATAACTGTTATGGATAGTAAATTTTGCAGAGGAATTTTTTTAAAGAAAAAACTAATTAAAAAATCCTTATAATTTTTATTAGTTTGGAATCAGGTCCTTATAATTTTTGTTTTCATTAGATCCTTTAACTTTCTCTTACTAGGTCCATTAATTCCTATAATTAAATAAGATAAACACTATTATAACTTTCTGTTAAATCTCCTCACCCACCCCCCACTCGCTCAACTCACTGTTCCTTCCACGGTAAATATCATCAAGCAGTACATCGAGTATGCTCTGCAAAAATTATAGCATCTGGTTTGGTTCAGGTTTGAAAGCCAAGAAGCAAATGCGTTTCTTGGTCATGTCCACATAGCTCATAGGGGTAGGAGAGGAAGCAGAAAAGAGAACAAAACAAAAAACCTTAAAATGGGGGTTTCGTAAAAAGTTCATTTCTTTGAGTTTGAATTATTAAGATAGAATATTCAGGGTCTAGACTAAGCGAAAGCGGATTTGAGATAAGAGGATAGGACGAGCTCATCTTATGATGTTTTTCTAATTTCTAAGTAATTATACATATACATATACAGATTGATGGTTCATGAAGTAATAATAATATTATTTTCTGTCTTTAATATCAGATCTAGTTGATTAATTTAAGGAGATTAAGTAAGTTACTTAAATTAGTTATTTATAGTAAATAGATATTATTTTTCTTAAAATACTATTATTAATTACGTGTGTTTGAATTACCCATTAATAAAAACGTTTTAATATATATAATTACTATAAAAATTATTTAAGAAAAAAATAGAGAAATATTAAAAATAAGATAGCTTCAACTTACATTTAAAATCAAATTAAAAATCCACCGGGCTAGTGCATAAATGCTGCTATATAATACTCGTAGGTGTTTGTGACCGACACGAAACATGATGCAGATGGTCAGATGGCTTGCCATTTCCAGCTGGCAAGCGGCAAGCCCATACAAATAATAAATTAAGATTAATTAGAGACATCCCCCTTTCTCTTATGTATCAATGCTCGCGTGAAACATCTCTGCCCTTGTAATTTTCAATTTTGGGAGTGGGACCCATCTTTTCAGATTTGAAAATACCCCCACCTTCCTTACCCGTGTAGAATCATAATATTTCTTCCGATTTTACCGCTTTTCCCCGGATTGGCCACTTTGGATAAAAAGACGTAAAAGAGAAAAGGAACCAGTGTGGATCAAAGAACAAGAAACCCCTCCAATCACGATCGCTTTCACATTTCAGTGCCCCAGAAAGGATTACATCAAACAAAATCATATATTTGCCAAAAGAATTCCTTAAATAAATTAAAAAGAAAAAAAGAAATGAGTGTGGCATAATCAAAGAAGAAATGAACAGTGACTAATGAAATAGAGAGAGGACCAATCCCAGAAGGGTGAAGAAGAAAAGACAGGAAACAGAAGAAGAAGACGAGGAAGGAGCAGAAGAAGAAGCCGTAACAGGAATGCTTCCAAACACAGTGGGATAGGAAGGCGCGTCGGCCGCGTTCCCCGTCAATGAAGCAGTCGGAGCATCAGACGGCAAAACGTCCTTACCGTCACCAACAACAATACGAAGCTTCTGCTTCTTCTGGCAATGCCCTGCTTCTCCACTGGTGAAGTAGTATACTGCATTTGAAGTTATGTTGAACAGGGAGTTACCGTCGTTCATGTGCAGTATGGGATCTTTAAGGTTACAACTCTTGTAAGACTCAGCCGTCACTTGGATCACTGAATCTTGACTTGGTGGATACAAGAACCCTGCATAAATTACAATGAGCAATGATCAGTAAGTGAGCAAAGAAAAACTGAAACTTTGGATTGGAATATGTATGAGATGTTATTACAGATGGAATCTCCGATCTTGAGATTGAGATGTTTGGACCATTTGGTGTAGACGTCTGGGTTTGAAGAGGCGGGGATTCCCCAACCATCTAAATCTCCAACCTTGTACGTTACGCATAATACCTTTGTTTGGAGAAACAACGTAAGCAGACATATGATGAAGAACATGTTGTTTCTGGCAAAAGCCCTCGGACCTCCCATCTTTGCTTCCTTTCTTCGGCGCCTGTAATTACTTGTTTTGGTTTTTGAGATCAAGCAGGCACATCTTATTGGTAGCAGCACGGGACCACCACCTAGGACTTGCATTTACATTAATACCCTCCTCCAATCATGATTCGCGAAAACAAATTTGCCAAGCAGGAATGGTGACGATAATAATAAGAATAATAATGGGGTGAGTCACATGGGCCAGTTGGGATGGGATGCTGGATGTAGCAGACTGTGTCATGTGGGGATGTGGCTGAGCTGAGAGATTCAAGAAGAGGGCAACTCCAACCTGGCTCCAGCCACATCACATGCTTCTGTACAACGGAACTTCGCCCATCTTCTTCAAACTATATATCATTAAAAACTACACTAGAACTAGGCTATAAACTTGTTTTGGTCAAAACATATTTGCTACCACAAACCTCCTATGGTATTTTTTAGTCATTCGTTAAAGGATTAAAGGGAGTTTTTTCACCTTAAAACTCTTCTTACAATCTGCTACAGGACGCACGTTGCCGATGTAGCAGCCAGGCGAAGGTGTAAAAGTCTTGTCTGGATCTCCTTTTTTGTTTTTTCTTGGTGTTACACGTGGCATGCCACATAGGCAATGTTCAGAACACCTCATCTAACATGTCAGGTTTTGTGGACCCCACACCAGTCAGTAACAAGAGTTGGTTAGCATTTAACCGCAGTAAATTACATCGTTTTTTAAGTTTAGCTCACCATTGCACCGCTAACTAACAGTTTAAGAGCCTTTTCTTTTTTTTATACACACAGTTTAAAGAGCCTCGTAAAATCAGAAAATACATTGTATATATAGTGGACAGTTATGAGCCCGTGAGCCATGGAGCTCTTTATTCATTGAGGGCTTGACTTACCCAACCCAAACAATCCATCTTGCGGTGCGGTCAACGGATATGGATTTGGTACGCTTGGGTGGAAGAACCGAAGAAGAAATATCAGCTTTTTTTCCTTATGCGTCGTTGTATTGTGCTGTCGGTTGCATATCAGTTGGCCAATGTGGTTGGGTTCCAAAGGGACCTTCCAGGCAGACGATACGCAACCAATACAAGTACACAGAATTCGTTCTAAAACACGAACCTCAATCCAGTGAATACATAAGGTAGCGTTTGATTCTTTCTAAACACCAACAAACAAGCAGGCATTGAAGGCATTCATTACACAACTTCATAGACTGACAGGGTGCTCTACAACAGTCACTTCATTGAACGGAACACAATACAATCTCAAAGCCGAGTCCCAAAAGGGAATGGATAACAACATCGGCGAGAAAGGGCTAGTTCTTGAACATGTTGATGTTGCGAATGGCAGCATCCCTAAACAGAGCGACATCCACACCCGTACACACCATATCATAACCACGCCTCTTGAGATCAAGAGGAGGGTCATGGGGCACAGCCAAGGCGGCTAAAGAAGGGGCTTTCTCACTCTCACACTTGAGCTCCAACAAAGATTTCTCAGCCAGGAGGAGCTTGTTCTTGAGGGACTCATTCATGTCGGGGCTCACACCAAAAGGGCCAAGCATGATGCAATCAACCCCTTCCACAGAAGCAATGTCATTTATGCGATCAAGGGCATCCACAGACTCAACCTCACACATTACCAACAAGTCTTTCTCGCATTTGGCTAAGTACTGAGGATCAAAGCCATAGTTGGAGGCACGGACGGCGGGGAAAGCGGCGCCGCGAATTCCCTTGGGAGGGTAGTGAGAATAGGAGACGGCAGCTCGGGCGGAGTCAGGGTGGTTGACCAGCGGGAAAATGAGGCCTTGTGGGCCCAGGTCAAGGGCTTTTTTGGCCCAAGTCTCGGAATTCTCCGGAAGCCGGATGATGGCAGGGGTTTGAGCGGAACACAGGGCGCGAAGACAGGAGAGGGCATTGGCGATGTCGCCGTGGCCGTGAGCAAGGTCGATGACAACGAAGTCATAACCGGCCAGACCGGCGATCTCAGTCAAGGTCGGCGAGAAGCTGGCAAGCAATAGTCCATAGAGGGTTTCCCCGCCGCAGCGGAGGCGAGCTTTCAAGGATTTGGTGATGCTGCTGCCAGCGGCCATTCCTTGGAGCTGTGATCGCCTAATAAAAGAACGGAATGGATCGTGTGAAGGCACTAAGGTTACCTTATATCGTATACTGATATCCTTATTGATTCCACACTCAGCACTCCTAAATTGAATTGCTTGAAGATAAACCTCTGAACTTTTAGGACCTTGGTTTGTGTGCTTTTGGGGAGTGGTGGTGTGGATGGATTCGAGACAAACAAAATACACAGTAGTATAATATTAGATACAACCAAACCACAAACTGTAAGATCTGACGCATTTATCCAGCTGCCCGCGAATCTATCCACACTTTCTAATCCATCCTTCCTACTTCTGTTCACTCAGGTTTGCAAGGAACGGCCAAAGACATGTTTTTCCATTTATTTTTTTCTGGGATTTGCTAACTACAATCCAAACACAATTATAAAAATAAGTCAGTATTATTTATAATTAATGAATAATACAAGTGAGTCAGGTTTTAGTACTGTATGTGTTTCACATCACGGCTTTTTTACCAAAATACGATAAACAGTAAAACTTTTTACCGAAATGCTACACTTTCAAAACTATTTACCAATATGCTATACTTAAAATCGTTCTTGGCAAGAACGAATTTCAAATTACACACAAGTCGTTCTTGGCGTGAACGATTTCAGAAATCGTTCTTCGTGTGAACGATTTCACTTTTAAATTTTTTTTTAAATCTAAAAGTGAAATCGTTCTTGGCGTGAACGATTTCAAAAATCGTTCACGCCAAGAACGATTTCACCCTTGCATGCAAAAATAAAAATCCCTGATGATACTCCCGCAAGGCTACAACATACTCCTCTGGTCCTATTTATAGGACAGAGAGAGAAGGTATTTTTTGGTCCTATTCATAGGGTACTAAGAGAAATTTTTTATATGGATGTACAATTTTACCCCTCATTTATTATTGTGTTGACTTTATTTATATGAGGTATAATGTATATTAAATAGGGATAAAGTTGAAAATTCATTAAATTTTAAATGAGAGTTAATGAAGTTTAAGGTTTTTCTTGGTCTGTGTGAAACATGTTGGAAGTGCCTTATAAATAGGACCAGAGGAGTATATAGTAAATTTTACTTCATCTAACTTATATTTGATTAAAATTTGAAAACCCCAGTTTTTTTTAATTTTTTTTTCAAATAGAGCTTGATGAAATTTTCTATCATTTCCTCTTCTTTTTATCTATCTCATACCAAACAGTACGTAACAAAAAAGGTTATGTTTTGATTGTAAATTTTTAATTGTAGCAATTAAGTTGTAAGACTAAATTATTATTATTATTATTTTGGTCATAGACATAAAAGGGCCATGCCCAATACTTGATTTCTTGTCAAACCGAACAAATACCACACGACAGGATTTTTTACCAAAATACTACAAACTGTAAAATTATACATCAATATGCTGCACTTTTAAAAGTATTTACTAATATATTACACTTAAAATAGGTCTTCAGGTGAATAATTTTTAAAGTCATTTATCTGGTGAACGACTTCTTCATAATCTGTCCTTGATGTGCATGAGGTGAATGAAAATCGTTCTTCTGGTGAACAACTTCAAAACTTCATCTGCTGTTGAATGACTTCTCCCCTTCTCTCCTGATTAAAATGATTAGTATAATGATTTATCAATCATTTGAATGACAAAATCATGACTATATAATGAGAGAAAAATGTTAAATGATGTTAAAACTAATTGTGAAATAAGTATAAGATTAAAAATAAAAAGTAATAAATAAAGTTTAAGTTTATAAAGAAAAAATTATCCACCTTACTGATAGTGACTTCCAGTACCACATCTTGGCCTTCTTCTCATACGTTGTGGGCGTTGTTGTTGTATGTCAATTTCTTGAGCTTCAAATGTCTCATTTGTTTGTGTAGTTGGCGTGTTCAAATCAAACCAGGGTGATTCATTTAAATGTATAGATTGTCGAGGAGTGACAAATGCTTCATTTGATGGTCCACCATGTTCAAAAGTAGAAGCATTGTATTCAGCTGAAAATAATGCAGGATTATCTAATAAAGTCATGAATGGTTGAAATTGAGAAGGATTGGCTGAGTTGGAAGGGGATGATGATGAGGGTGCCATGTAATGAGACTCAAGTTGTGTAGGATCGATAGAGATGAAGGGGGATGATGGTGACAGTGATATGTCAGAAGCCTGAGTAAAAATTGGAGGTTCCTGTTCCCTTGCATTTTCGTTTTCAATTATAGGTTGGGTAGACAAGTAACCACCTCGTCGCTTGCTTGGTCTATCACGAGGAATTTGTGGCCGAGGCAACTCAATTGTTGGTGGAGCAGGCTGAGGGTTTACATTAAAACGTTGTTCTCTAAGTGCAAGTAAAATGTTACGCTGGTCGTGAGCAACCCTATCTCGATAATCAACACAACTAGGGCATGTTGAACGAGAATTAATTGAAAGCCTGTATAGCTCCTCTGCTATGTCAGACTGAAAAAAAATAATAAGATATAAGATAATAAAACTTTTTGTGTAAAATAAAATAATATTAATGGTGAAAAAATAAAAACTTACCGCACGACCTGTATCACTACTGATACGTTGAATCCATCGTCTTGTATGTCTCCAATACCATTGCATGTACTGAGATATTCGATCAAGTTCATCAAATGCTATAGGAGCATTAACAATTACATGTGGCCATCTATCCCATGCTTGAATGAAATCTGCGTATTTGTCAATCCAATTTGTAGTTGTTCTACCTCGTAATTGGATCGTGTGGTAATTTCTCAAATGAACAGGCATGGAAGGAATTGGTTGCTGACGACCAAATTGCCGTAGTACACGGTCAGGATGATGCCATTCTATAATATTAAAACATATTAAAGGAACTGAAGCACGCCAAATTTCAGGGTGTTGTCAAGCAATACTCAGGAATCAATTGGCGCACATAAGGAGATTCATATGGCTGCCATATTATCTCATCATCGGTCATTTTATCCAGAAAGCTCCTATATCGGATTAAAGACGCAGCAAGTGGACGTGGGTTTTGTCTACATTTTTCCATCTGTTATTACAAAAAAGTAATGTTAAAAATTATATAATTTTAATAATATAAGAGCATAACAAATAGTTAGTTAATAAATTTAACATACCTAAAACCCAAAGGAGGTAAGAGAGGGTAGATATCAGATTGTGGATCTGGATACCTAGGTTGTTGTGGTGCTAGCATAGGAAAACGATCCCATGCCCATAAATGAAGTAATGATAAGCATCCTCCAATCCCATCCTCAGTTGGGTTAGTAGCATTACACAATTCTCTGTATAGGTGAGCTAAAACTGCTGATCCCCAACTGTATTTTCCAGCTTCTTGAAGATCATAAAGTAGTGGAAGGTACATTAGATACACCTGCTACCCGATCTATCTGGCATGAGATATCCACCAATCAACCGGAGGATATATGCACGAGTGAATTGTTGAACTTGTACATCATCCGCATTATCAGGTAGGTGATTAAAGTTCTCTTCCAACCAACTTATAAGTAGTCGCTGCCCACTTAGTCTATCTGCAGATGGTCTAATACCTAGAAAACATTCACATATGTCTTGCCAATTAAAGTCAGTTCGGCCAATAACTGCCATTCCTTCACATGGAAGGCCCAATTGTTTAGCTACATCCTCTAATGTTATGGTGCATTCTCCACGTGTAGTGTGAAATGTATGAGTCTCAGGACGCCACCTCTCAACCAGTGCTGAGACCAAACCTCGATCATAATCAAACTGTCCTACTCGAGCAGCACCATAAAATCCAGCTAATATAAGATATTCAATTATTTGATTAGGTGGGTTAATCATTTGATTAGCGTGCATGACTCGTCTAGTGTGTAGGACCCTGTTAACCTATAGTGGAAAAGGGAAAAAATATTATTATAGAAACATCAATGAAATAATATATAAGAAATAGATTTTACT